CCGTGCTTCATCATGATGCTGCCACCACCGTGCTTCATCATGACGCTGCCACCGCCGTGCTTCACGTCATGATCTTTATTATTTGATTATCAATACACAAACTTTTCCACTTCAAAGTAAAACTCCAGGAATTCAGGGCATCTGTCCCTAAGAGGTAAACATCAGCATCACTACAGGATTTAAAGAATCCTTTTCTCTGTATTTTAAGTTGTATCCATTCTTTAAACTCATGTTTCCGGTTTCCTGTTCCTGTCTGCGATGTAAACCTGTTCAGGTACAGCAGCAGTTGTCTTTGTGGGTTCCACTGGTCCATGGAGGACGTAACGGGCCGGTCCTTGTGTTCCTTCCTTCACATTCAGACACAGGAAGGCATGTCGTGGTGCTTTTTCATTATCAGTCCACCGTTAGGAGACACAGACCTCCTTCTCTTTTCTTACTCTCTTCAGTGCGTGGCTGTTTTTCTGCTGCTTCCTCTCCGTCCTTGTGTTCCTCGTCGTCCTCTTTACCTGCAGCGTGGACGCAGTGAGACCAGGCGTTTCCTGTGTAGGTGCTGCATCGCTGCAGAGCTCTCCTGTTTCTGTTTCACCGTTCTGCTGGTTTGCTCTGTCTTTATGACCCTGCTTCCCTCCGTATGCCCTCCTTCTGTTTGCTGCTGCAGCTCCCTGTTCTACTGTATATGGTCATGGAGGCTCAGCTGAAGGTGATTTAGCTGCTGCACTCTGTTTGACTTCTGCGTGAACGTTGCACAACCCACAAAACATGCACTCAGGAGCTTTTTTATGCTCTAACTGTGTCTGAATTTAATCATGTTCAAACTGCACTGAGTTAGAAAAACACAAAATACTGATTCTGACGGTCGTTTTCAATCCGGCCTGAAACTTATTTTAAATCACAGGAACTTAACTTTGATGTGTTTAATGAGCTGAAGCATCATCATCACATCAGCTGTAAGAATGATGTTTGGATCAGCGCAGCGAGGTCCGACGCCGGGGCTCTGGTTCTGCTCAGCGTGAAGGCGTCGGCGGGGCGACACTGAGCATGTGCAGAGCTGCTGCTGCAACATGGAGCTTCTGTTGGAGCCAATGAGACGTCAGAGTTCCTCTCAGTGTTTCAGAACAGACCAAGTCCAACCGAACACCTCTGCTCCTGACAGCCGGAAGGAAAACAAGGATAAACAAACAAACAAACAAACGATCCCACTAGACCGGTTCTGTGAACTCATCCATGTGGTTCTGTCCTGGCTGGATCCTGCTGCATTGATCTGCTCTCAGGTGGACTTTGGATGAAGCTGCAGAGCTGTGATTGGACGACGGCTCCACTCGTAGACCAACATGGCGGCTCGTTTGGAAGCTTTCTCTCAGCACGTGTTTCTAAAAGCGTATGAGGGGAGAAAGAAGCGGCTTCGTTTCAGACTGACGATGAATGAGTTGGTTGGTTCCAGAGCTGCAGGCTGATCAGGAGACGCTGCGTCTCTTCTGCTGCCAGGACGAGCTAACGTCCTCCAAAACATACGTGTCTGTCTCTAAGTGCAGCCCTGTGATAGACTGGTTACCTGTCCAGGTGAACCTGCCTTCACCCTGAGTCAGCTGGGATAGGCTCCGCCCCCCATGACCCTAGTGAGGATTAAGGTGTAGAGATGATGGATGGATTTGGTTGATTCTCCAGCAGACCGACACATCACACGTGATGTGTTTAAAGACTGTCGGAAAGTTGAACATCTGACGAGTCTTCCTGGTGTCTGATGATCGGTGGAGCAGGTCCAGGTCTCCTCTGTGCTCTGAGCCTCTGTGGGCAGAGTCCAGGTTGAATCTGATTCAAGCGACTTATTTCTGACACGTTTGTAGAAGCAACTGATTTCAACAAACATCAGTGTTTTAAACTCAGGTTTGCTGAATGTTCCTGCGTCAGAAAGCTGAAGTTGTTTTCAGGTTTGGTAGCAGGACAGACGCTGTGGTCGTGGTGATTTGTCTGATCCGTGGTTTTAACGGTTAAACCTTCACGTTGTCATGTTGAACTGAGACTCGGAGGCCGTCAGGATCCTTCCTGCTCGGTTCCCTCCTGATGCTGCTTCTTCGCTGCGTCACGCGTGACGTCTGCGCTGTCAGCCGGTCACATGTTGCGTGTTTGAGGAGGATTTGTCGAGGCAGCTTCCTCCGTGTCGGACAAATCCGCTGCAGGTTCAGCGTGGCTCGGCTCCGTCTCGCTGCGTGACTCAGGCGGCTCGGATTTACTCTGAATCTTCACTTCTTGAATATTTATTGGCCTGAGTCACGCTGCAGGCTGAGAAACCTGCGACTGTCTGCAGCTGAACATTCATACACGAAGGCTCATTAAATAGACCCGATGTGAAGATGAAGGAACACGACACCAGAGGAACCGTCCAGGCCAGGGATCTCCAGCTCTGGTCCTCCTGAGCTCCTGTCCTGCAGGTTCTAGACGGTTCCAACACACTTGACTCACGTGAATGGATCTCCAGCAGCTTGTTGTCAAGTTCTACACACGTCTGTTCGTGATCCATTCATGTGAGTCAGGTGTGTTGGAACCATCTAGAACCTGCAGGACAGGAGCTCAGGAGGACCAGAGCTGGAGATCCCTGGTCCAGAGGAACCGACCCTGTATCTGGTCTGAACGTGTCTCCGTGTTTCTTCTCCTCACACTGAACGGTCTGCTCCAGGATTTAGTCTGAGCCCACGTGGTCCAGGTTATTTCCTGGTTTATTATCCTGTTCATGTCCTTGTCAGTATTATGGGATGTATCGCCGTGAGAACAGTCAGACTGTTGAGCTGCACTTTAAACCAGAAACGCTGTTTTTAAACCAATGTTTTCTGTTATTTTACAGATTTTATTGTTTTTGGTAAATTTCTGATAATATTCATGCGCGATGATTCATTTGTTCTTCTACAACATTCGACCATAAAATACTAAATCTAAATAATATCTGCGGTGATGTGAAAGAAAAATGGATGTTAGGGATTGAAAATCATTTTTCTGTTTTTATTTTACAGATATTCTTGTATTAATGTATTTATTACATGTTAACTTGGAAAAAGAAAAAAGGGACAAAACTGTAAATGTCCACATTAAAGATCTGTATTTTTGCTGAAGCATTCATTATGTGACAGCCTGTAACTGTAAAATCACACGATTTTAAGTCATTTTAAACGTATTTTAAAGGAATTTTTAGAACTGAAAACCTGTGAATATATTTTTAAAATATTATTTCAGTTTTATTTCTGTCATTTGTTTAATTCCAGAATAATATCTAACAAAAAACAACAAATCACAGAAATAAAGTCTGAATTTAATTAAAAGCTAAGTTAATTAAAAAGTGATAAATATTGTCACTAATCAGTATTTTTATAAACGTGTTTTTGTTCTTTTACTGTGTTTGACTGAAAAATGGCTTTTTTCTGTTTTTAAATCGGTGTTCATGTGACCGACGCTGAACATGTGATGAAGCAGGTTTTGTTTTTAACAGTTTCTTCCTCTAACCGTGTGGCAGCTCGCCGTCAGACTGTCGTGGTTTCTTTCCAGGATCGTGGTGACGGTTCTGTAGCTGCAGAACCTCAGACGCCGGTCCTGGACCCGGAGAGTAAATCTGTTTTCTCTGTTTGTCTGCAGGCGATATCACTCAGAAGGGTTATGAGAAGAAGCGGTCCAAGCTGATCGGAGCTTATTTCCCTCAAACAGCAGGTAAAGCTTCACGCGTGTCATCAGAGCAGCTTCTGGACACGACGTCGCCACAAACACACCGAACAGGAAAAGTGTTCCAAAGAGGAAAAATGCAAAAGATTCATCACAAAAATGCCAAAACGTGGCTTCAGCTGCAGTCAGGAGTAAAGACGAAGGTTCAAACCATGAAAACTCAAAACATCTGTGAAGTACTGATGAAAAAAAACAAATATATAAATAATAATGAATGACGTCGTGATGTTTACTGTGGATCAGCTGGTTTTTATTACAGTCAACAGAAAAGCTGAACAATCATTTATTTTAAATCCAGTTTAAATCGTGTCATTTTACAGTCAGATGCTGTAAACGTAGACTTCATGACGTTATTTATAGTTTCAATCTGTTGTGACGTAAATTAATTTATTATCTGTAATTTAAAAATGATTTAATCACTAATGCAGCAAATATTTATGGAACAACATTTCTGCTGATTCAAACATGAACTTCAGAGTCAAACGAGCTCAAAGAACAAATCATTCATTTAAGTTTTTATTTCATCATTCAGTTCAAACAAAACAATTAAACACAAACGTTCCTGAATGAAAGGAAAGAACCGACCAGAAAACGAACCGTTGCTGCTTTCAGGATGTTTGTGACAGTTTACGCGTCAATTAGAACTTTTTTCTTTGATTATCATCATTTATGTAATTTTTATGTAGAACAGCAACAAATTGTT